GGCTGTCATCTCGCTTATCCTCTCCTGCAGTTCGATTTCTTTGAAGGTCGGGGCATTGTCGTTAATGTCCGTGATTTCTACTTCGATTTCATAAACTTTCGTTTCCCCGTCCACAATCAGCTCACAGCGCAGCACGCATTGCTCCACCAGCCGGCACAGCTGCTCTCTGTCGACCCTCTCGGCCGTCACTAAATGTCCCGTCTTACCGTGCAGAGCAAAATACTGCGTCCTACCTCCGGTGACAACGCGGGCACCACGATCTCGGAGCTCCGGCATCTGCAGCCCCAGGTCCTTGGCCACGTCGCCCACGAACGAGCCCTTGGGCATCTCCTCGGGCACCGAGTAGCGCAGCTGCCCCCACGCCGCCTCCCAGGCCGCCAGCAGGACGCCCCACAGCAGCACTCGCTGCCGCCGGCCCCAGCGCCTCCCCGCCGCGCACATCTCCGCCGCCGCACCGCCGGCACCGCAACACCGCCGGCAGATCCCCGCCGCCGATCGCCGATCCGGCTCCCACTACGGCTACGACTTGCCGCTCCTGGGAAGTGCCGCCCGCCCCTCCGCCTCGCTGGAGCTCGGCTCCGCACCGCTGGGACGATCGGAAACAGACCACTTTCCGATCCAGGAATCCAGCGATCCAGCGATCGAGCCGGGCCGCAGCGGGCGGGGCTGCAGCGCTCCGACCTTCCTCTCGCTCCTCTCGGTCAACAGCGGCGCCCGCAGCCTCCTCCCGGCACTGCACGCACCGAGCGCCAACGAGACATGCCCGCCCTGCCTTGAGCACGGGAAGCTCAAAAAGACGGAACATTCCCTGCGGAAATGTCGGGTCAAGTCCAGCGGAGACCTGGCGTTATGTTCTTTCTACCGCACAGGAAAATATTCATTTGACTGTGATAATCTATAGATACAAAGGTCTCTTAATATGGCGTGCAGAGTATTCCGAATCTACTCTTTTATGGTAGGAATGCATAATATCTTCCCTGCAACTGCAGAACTTTTTGTGCCAGTCGTTCTCTTTGTGTTTTCTCACTGAGCGTCAACACCGGAACGCCTCCAGTCACAGTAGATTCCCAGACCCAGAGCAATTGCACATGGCAGTGATGAAGATTCCTCCTTAGAGAAGACAATCTACGGGCTGCCCTTCTCTCTCTCTTTTTTACTTTTCACTTGCACATCCGAGGCTGCTCTGAACCAGCCTGCATTGCTCTCCTCCAAACAGTACTTCCCAATTTTTTCATTACATCCTAAATGTAACGCTCTGCTTTTGTATACAGCTTAGTGCTCCATAATTGATCACAGCCTTCGCGAGAGATGCTATCAAGCTTTTCTTAGATCACATTTAATCTATCTGTAGAAACCAGCTGAGGAACGGTAAATAAACCACCAAATTCTGAATGAGAAATAATCGCAGAAACAGAAAAAAAGAAATAAAGCTCTGATAAAATAAACTGATCTCACTACAACTTGCCTTTTCTGTAGCCCACTTACAACAAAAAATGGGACGGCACAGGGTGGAAGGTACGCATATTCCTTAGGGAAGAACAACTCCCACTTCCTCTAGCAAGTTTCCTTAACATTCCAAAATAGCAAACAAACAGGTCGCAGTGCATCTACACGGCAAAGAAGGATCAGGAGGGAAAAATCTCATTACTGAGCGTCAATCGCATTGCCAACTCCACCATGTGGAATTAGCAGATCACTTCATAAGATCTAAGTATCCACCTTCACCGTGACTAACCCATATTATTTCACAAAACACAAGGTTTGCAGATAAACGTGAGCAATTGAACAAAGAGGTGCTGTCGCTACGTTACTGCGCTGAGAGGAAAATTTAAAAAAAAAAGCAGAACGCAGAAGCAGACCTTTACAAGTCCTCTACGGTTTTATGCAGCATAAGTTGAAAGACAACAACCTCCCAACTGAGCCGACATCTGTGACAGCTCATGAGGCAGGAAGTGCCGGTTGGCAACGCCTGCTGCCTAAAACGGGGCAGAGTTATTACCCGCGTCTGTGGAAAGAGCGACCGGCACTAACTGCACCAGAACAGACAAAACCCCAAGAGCCCACTGCCACCTGCATACCCTTAGGAAAACCTCAGAAAGAGGGAGTGAAGGGGCTTACAGACCTGTGGTGCGTCGAGGTCGGCGAGCGGCTCTCCCGGGACGGCGCTGCTGCTCAGACTCGGCTTCTCGCAGGGCTCCCCGGCCACAAGCTCCTCCGCGGGCACGATGGGCAGCGGCGGCGGCGGCCAAGCGGCCTCGGCGGCCAAGCGGGGCGGCGCCGCCACGCACAGGTTGTAGGAGTAGGGCAAGGTGCCCTCGCAGAAGTCGGCCGGGAAGGCGGCGCCGGCCAGCGACAAGCGCTGCGCGCCCAGGCAGCGCAGCACGCCGGGCGGCCCGGCCCGCCGCAGCCGCGCCAGCACGGCCAGCGCCACGCTCAGCACCAACAGCGCCGACAGCAGCGCCAGCGCCAGCACCAGATAGAACTGCAGCTCGCCCGCCGCCTCGGCGCCCGCCGCCCGCTCGCTCAGCTCCGGCAGCGCCTCCTGCAAGCTCTCGGCCAGCACCACGTGCAGCGTGGCCGTGGCCGACAGCGCCGGCTCGCCGTGGTCCTTCACCACGGCCACCACGCGCTGCTTGGCCGCGTCCCTCTCCGACACGGCCCGCGCCGTGCGCACCTCGCCGCTCTGCAGCCCCACGCGGAACAGCGCCGGCTCCGACGCCTGCACCAGCTCGTACGACAGCCACGCGTTGCGCCCCGCGTCCGCGTCCACCGCCACCACCTTGCCCACCAGGTACCCGGACGACGCCGAACGCGGCACCACCTCGAAAGCCGAACCCACCGAGCCCGACGCCGCCGGCGGGGGCGGGTAGAGCACCCGCGGCGCGTTGTCGTTCTGGTCGAGCACGAAGACGCGCACCGTGGCCGTCGAGCTGCGCGCCGGCGACCCGCCGTCCTGCGCCCGCACGGCCACCAAGAACTCGCGGCACTGCTCGTAGTCCAACGAGCGCTGCGCTTACACCGCGCCGCTCCGCGCCTCCACCGACACCAGCGGCGCCGCGCCCGCCGCGCCCGCGCTGCCGCCCGACAGCCAGTAGCTCACGCGCCCGTTCGCGCCCGCGTCCAAGTCCCGAGCCACAACGCGCAACACCAGCGCGCCCACCGCGTTGTTCTCCCGCACGTACGCGCTGTACGACGCCTCCTCGAACACCGGCGCGTTGTCGTTCACGTCCGACACCTCCAGCACCAGCTCCGCGCTGCTCGACAGAGCCGGGCTGCCCCGGTCCCGGGCCACCACCGTCACGCGGTGCTCGGACGCCTGCTCGCGGTCCAGCGCGCTCGCCGTCACCACCTTGAACGAGCCGCCCGAGGACGTCACGATCGACAGCGGCGCCTCTCCCGACAGCTCGCACGACACCTCACCGTTCTCGCCGGAGTCCGGGTCGTTCACTTTCAGTAAGGCCACCACGGTTCCCGTCGGCGCATCCTCAGATACGGGGCTCGACAGTGACAGAATGGTGATTTCTGGCGCGTTGTCGTTCTCGTCTGTGACGTCTATCTGCACTTGGCAGTGTCCCATGAGCCCACCCCCGTCCCTCGCTTCCAGACCGAACCTGTATTTATTCTTCTCCTCGAAGTCGAGGGGCCCCGCAGTCTTGATCTCACCACTCTCGCTGTCGATAGAGAACAACTCGCGAATTCCGGCCGGGACGCTGACAAAGGAGTAGGAGACCCGCCCATTGGACCCCGCGTCCGCATCCGTGGCTTCCACTCGCAGCACCAGCGACCCCGCCGGCAGATTCTCCGCCACTCGCGCCTCGTACACTCTTTTGCTGAACACGGGCGGGTTGTCGTTGGCGTCCGTCACGTTGACCCGAACCTGAACAGTCCCGGACCTCGCTGGGTCTCCGCCATCCACTGCCGTCAGCACCAGCTCAAAGGAGCTCTGCTTCTCCCTGTCCAACGCTCTTTCCAGCACTAATTCAGGCTGCATTTTTCCACCCGGAATTTCCTCCACGGCCAGACTGAAGGACGGGTTGCTGCTGAGTTGATAAGTAATCAGGGAATTACTTCCCACGTCCGCATCTTGGGCCATCTCCAGGGGAAAACGAGCACTGGGAGAAATTAATTCACCGATCTCGAGGTCCAGGGCATCCTTGCTGAAGGTAGGAGAGTTGTCATTCACGTCCTGGATGGTCACTTCGACACGGAAAACGTTGAGCGGGTTGTGCACCAGCGCCTCAAAGCTGACCGAGCAGGACGCCGACTCGCCGCACAGCTCCTCCCGGTCCAGCCTCTCGCTCACGTACAGGTTCCCGTTCCCCTCGCTCACCGTGAAGTATTGCTTGTCCGCGCTGAGCCGCAGCTTGCGCGCCGGCAGCTCGTCGGCGCTGAGCCCCAGGTCCCGGGCCAGCGGCCCCACCAGCGAGCCTCTGGGCAGCTCCTCGGCCATGGAGTAGCGGAGCCGCTCCGCCGCCGCCCGCCAGCACAGCCACAGCAGCACAGCGCCCAGCACCGCCGCTCGCCCGCCGCCCGGCCCGCCGCTCGGCCTCCGCCCGCCCGACATCGCCCACAGCGCTCGCTCGCCGAGCTCGCCAGGCTCCTGCCGCCGCCCCGCCTCCCTCGCAGCCGCTCGGCGCAGCCACAGCAGCGCCCGACAAAGCAAACCCGGACCGCCGCCGCCTCCCACTCGCACGCCTCTGCTGCCCGCGCCGCCTCTCGCCTCTGCTGCCCGTGCCGCTGCCGCTCTGGCCCGCACTGCCCGCCCGAGCCAGCAGCCTGCGGGGACAGCACGCACAGGCGGCGGCGGCGGCGGCTCCAGCAACGCTCGCCGGCGGCCCAACAGCGGCACCCGGAGGCGCCGACACAACACTGCAGCCGCCTCACGCCCGCGCTCGGCGGGGAACAACTTTGGCCCGGGATGGGGCTGCAACGGCCCTGGGGTCTCTCTTCTGGTATTATCAGCAAGCGCAGAAGCTCCTGCCTAATGCTTAGCAGGAATTCTAATGATTAGAGGAAGAACACTAGTCTCCTATCCATACTGAAAAGATTTTGTAGCTACAGTACATTTTTAAATAGTATGGCTCTATTGTAAGGACTTTTATATCTAGTAGCCTTATCTGGTGCAAAAACTAACCAGGAAATACGTGTGCTACAGCAATAAAGAGATTCCCTCCTCCACAGTCAGAGCATAGAAAAAATAAAATCTAAAAAGGAAGTTGCTTACATGCTTTACAGATTATATGTGTCACTCGTACCCCAGATAAGGTCGTGAGAAATGGCAATCAGGCGGCTAAATGTTGTCCACAGCCACTTGTGGAAGTTCATTTCTACTGTGTGTAAGGTTACCCAATATGGATAAGACCCACTGCAAATTGTAAGAAAACGCGATAGTCAGAAGGAAAACCTTGAAGACCCAGTCACAGCTCTTTTCCAGAGCCACTCAGTTCATGCCAAACCTGCCAATCTTTTCACATTTTGCTGATATTTCATTTTCCTCCCCACACATGTCTCTGAAGCCCATGCAAAAGACTTCACATTGCTCCAAAATGCTCAGGTCTGATAATGATTTAGAACAACAATTAACACTGATGGGGAAATGTGAAGCTCATGGGTAGTGGACCTGCACTCAGACCCAAATCACTGGACTCCCTGGCAGAGGAAAAGAAATCAGAGCAGTGCAGGCTCTGCACTGTGCACATTCTGACACCCACTACTCTTCAATGGGCAGAAACTCTCAGTGCTCTTGGTGGACACTCCAAACTCCAAGGGCTGCCATAAGAATTGTTTGGACATTTCTACCACTTGGAGTTTGGGAACTTCCAGGTAAAAGTCCTATCACCTGGTCAGCACATCAAACAACAGCATGACCAGCTGAAAGCTGTACAGCGATTTCTGATGAGTCCTACACAAATCCAAAACCTCCTGCTGACCTCATTGGAACAGGTACATCAGCTCTGGGATTTTCAGTTGCTCTGACACAACTCTGCCTTCAAAAGTCATGCCCAGAGCACCTGGAAAACCACTGAGGCCTTGAGAGAGAAGGTAGGCAAACTGCACTGATTTCTAAGGGTGACTAGGTCTCCCTTAACTGGACTAGGTGACTTTATGACACTTCAGAACAACAATGCTCCCAGGCACTTAATAAACCAAAGAAGCCAAACCAAATACCTCCCACTGTCCCACATGGCGCTGATTATTTGTTACTGTGATAAATCCAGGTCTGCACAGTGTAGGAAATCACACACAGGAGTATGTAGTCCTGTAGTGCCCAAAAAGATAATGACAATCCCCAGACTGGTGGGATTGGCCAGCAGTACTGTACAAGCTCTATTATGTTGCAGAACTTGCCACAGAGGGATCAGAGGTGACTTCTGCTATGCAATAATGCTCTTTGATCTTGTTTAATCCATGTTACCCACTTGGAGTCAGCAGTGGATGTGGCTGCATGCAAGTGTTCTCCAGAAGGTCCATATTGCAGAGCAGAAACTCAAATCTCCAACCCATTTCTGATTATCACTGAACAAACCCCAAAGCTCTAAGTGGCCCCTTGGAGGGCAACACAGGATTCCTTGAATGTACAGGTGCTTTGCCACATCTCTGCCTTAAAAAAAAACCACTTCACAAAGCACCTGGAAGTCACAGAAGTCTGAATCCACATCTAAGGCCCCAAAGTCTTGCTTTGGATCATATAGTAGGGGGGTTTATTTTCAGAAATACATCTGTCCTTGTAAAATTTTCTACTTTGTGTCCTGTTCAGGAATTGGAAGCTGTAGGTGTAAATGCCTTATCAAAGGCCTTGTTCTAAACAGAGCGACTTAGGAGGGGCCCAGTTTTAGCTTCTGCCTAATTTTCCTCACATGTAACATTCTGTCTTCCTGTGGTTCTCAAGGAAAGTCAGTCTTTGTTGCAAAACAACTCTCACAGTTACCAATGGGATAGAACAATCTGCAAGTGGAAAACGTGAACCATAATATAGCAGGAAACAAAGCTGAAGGAAGAACAAGGGTGGGAAAATGGAATATTGACTTGGATTATACTCTCCATTTAAAAGTGACAGAAAAATCTAGATAGAGAAAGGAGGTTTCACATAGGAATTAAAAACTATCCTACAAATATGTCATCATTCTGACCCCTCTAAAGCCCTATTCAACTCTGCAAAAATATCACAGGACAAGACAATGAATAATGATCATATAGAGGAAAGAAACACATTTGTTTGCTCACCACCATTCTGAGAAGATATATAATTGCATAAATAGTACAGGAATGATAAAGAGACAAACTACAAGAGTAATGGTCATCCAGCAGAGACTGGGTCATTGAACTCTGCACTTGGGGAAATTTCTTCCCTTCTTCTATCACACACACTGGTCCACTAAGATGTGACTTTGCTGAAGTCCCATTGACAGCTGTTGACTCACAGCAGAACTGGAATGCAAAGCTCCACTCACATCTCCTGCCTTCCACACCAGCTATAACATGACAAAAGAGGCACTGAAGAACAAGGCCTTGGGAAATATAATTAAATGTGCATATGGAGAGGGGAAAGGAAAAAAATGAGACTAGCAATGCAAGGAAGCATTAAGAGTGTTCTCAGAGAAACTCACCAGGAGGACATCTCAGTCAATACTAATGAAATCCATGTAGCTAATTCTATTAGAGATACACCAGAGTCCACACCTAAGACTAAGATAGGACCTGGATGCATCCAAGCTGCAACAGGAATTTAGGAAGTCAGGGGATTAATTCAATAAAGGTCCTTTATGTGTTTCAGCCACATAGTAAGTAACAGAGTGAACCTTGACATCAAACTTTGTTAAAGACACACTGCAACAACTTCCTATTAAACCACTTTTGATAATACCTCTGAACAGGACTCCTTAAGTAATCTAAATCATTCATTAATGGCATCTAACCATGTGTCATCCTTCTACATGCAGAGTGAGTGGACAAAAGCTCTGTTTTCAGAGCTCTACCATTGCCTTTGAAAACAGGGAAACCAGGATCACAGAAAAAATGGCACAGGCCTTGACACACTATGAAATCAAACTATTGCTCAGACAAAAACTCAGGAATTCACCTAATTGCCTAACAGGAATTCAGCCTCTCACCCTCTTTGCTCTACATTCACAGCCTTTAGTCACACCATGGACAAATCCAACTCTTGGCCATATGTCCAGCACAAGTGAAAAAGCAAGTGACATTCAGGTGAAATTCAGCAATATCTTAGGGAAGCAGAAGTATATCCAAGTCTTTGTCTTGGCAGCTAAACCACCTCAAGACAGGAGTACAAACTGTTAATTTAAGCAGGCCTGTTTTCAAGGACTATCATCCAAACTGAGGCCTAGTTTTAGAACAAGGAAAGACTCTCCTTAGGGAGAACAAAGATCATAACACAGATACATGCATAGGAACCTAAAATGTTCCAGTGGGCATAAGCTATACAAGGCTGAGTTGGAGTGTCAGTCTTCACGATCAACTCAAAGACACCACCATTCTTCATCAGTACACGGGCATTTTGGAACATATGTGACTTTGCAAACTTCACGTCTACCTTCACAAACCAGCATTCTCAGGAAGAGCTCTATCAGACAAGGCAGGATTCAATGAGTAAGTTGCTCACAACTACTTCAAACAACAAGTAAATTCATGACCAAAATACCCTCCCATCCCCTCCATTCCCACCAGTCTACAACATCATATTAAACCCACTTTTGATAACAGCTCTGAAGGGGATTCTTTAAGCAATGTGAATCCCTCATTCACAACCCCTATCCATGAATCATCCCTCTAAATGCAGAGCTATTGCAAAAATGCTCTATTATCAGAGGACTACCCTTGCCTTTCAGGACAGGGAAACCAGGGGCACAGAAAAGATGGCACAGGCCTTGGCACCAGGCACAACATCAGACCACTGCTCAGCCAAAAACACATTCATCCTCCAGTTTTCCCAGCAGGAAGCCAGCCTCTCATCCTCATTACTCTGCAGCCACAGCCTTTACTCACACATTACAGGACATAACCTCGGCAGACACTTTATATGAGCAAGAGCCTTTAATAAAATCTGCAGGTTGGTCAAGGCTGGGAAAAGCTTAGTACAACCACCATGGAACACTGCATCACAGCCATACAGGGAAATATAGATGGGAAAATTATGTTTCATGTAGCAGCTCTTAGACACAGAATCTAGGAAGCATGTTTGCACTTCCATGAGTATTGCTTGCAGACAAATTCATCACAGGATTGTCCTCTCCTTCCCAGATGCAGGCTCCTGGTGTGAGTGGCACAGGCCTTGGCACTTGCCAACATGATAGCACACCCACACAGGTGGACCATACAACTCCCTTTCCCTGCTTTAGGCCAGTCTCTGGCTGATCTTGCACTGACTTTACATCCTGAGTATGTGGCAAGCAAGAGCACTGATTCGAGTGACATTTTCAGACACACACGGGCCCACCTTTACCTCATCACAACAAGCAAAGCAGAATTTAACCACCAGCCTCTGAGAACAGTGTGCAAGAGGAAAGCAAACTGATGAACCCACAACTTGGCCACAACTTTTTCACCTTGTCCAAACATTACACAACAAAAAAGCTGCGTTTGCAAACAGGCATCACAGAGACAGAAGTCGCACGCACAGTTTCCCCTTAGAGAAGAATGAAGGTCAAAACATTAACGCATGAAAGAGATTTCTTTGCTCATCACTACTCTAAGAAATGTAATACCTTCTCAAGTCCATAAGCGTTATAACACCCCTGTCATCAAAGTATCAGCTCAAAGACACCACCATCCTTCTTCTCCCCCAGGGCAATTCGGCAACAAGCTCAGCAGAGCTGAGGAGATACTATCAGATGTAAAGGCCCACAATTCAATCCTCACAATGAGCAAGGCAAATGTTAACACCTGCAGAAATGAACCAGTCAGAACATCCTCTTCAAGGTTCCAGCACAGGTATTGAGTAGGGAACTTGAGGTGTTGTTTTAGCACGAACCCCACTCAGACACGAATGGCAGAGCAGAATTGAGGTTTCTTTCAAAACACTTCGGTTTAAATACGGCGCTTAAACATGTCACATGATCTTTCGACCAATGACAATCAAATATTGATTGAGCAAGCGTGAGAACCCAGAAAACTACAACTCCCATGTATCCTTGTCACATTCTTCCTGCCACAGGAACCAACAATGCTTTTGCTCCTCCCAAAGGTGTCACTGTCACATTTATAAGCAGTACATCTTTAAGCTATTAGTAAAATACATCATATCGACTTCCAAACTAAGAGAAGTACAATATCAAGGCTCCCAATACTTAATTTCCGCAGTAAGAAACTCATATTGTGTAACAATGCAAATGGACAGAATACCCCTAAAAATGCACACTTTTTTTTTACCCTCATAATATGCAAACAGGTTTACCATCTGCACTTCAAAGAAGAAATACCAAGATTCTAAAGGCAAAGGGTAAGCTGTTCCCCAGGAAAAATTGTGCCAGTGAACAACCTGAAGCACAGTAATGACATAATTAAAATTATAGATGAACCTCCAGTAAAAAGCAGATTCCCTGCTTTTGCCTTCTCCACGTGTAAACCTGGGTAAGGAAAAGACGTCTAGATCCTCCCTACGAGTAACACAGATCACGGGGTGAAAGAGCAAGAGAGTAGCAGAAGGAAAGGTCGCCGAAACACTCGGCTTCAAAGAACTCACCGGGAGAGGGGCGGGGTCCGCCTGCTGGGCACCGGCAGGTTCCTCGTCTCCGAGCAGCGGCGCGGGCTCGTCGGGCGGCGGCCGGGCCGGCAGGGTGTCGCAGCAGCTGTCGGCCGAGAAGCGGAGGTGGCTCTTGCGCGAGTCGGCCGTGAGAGACACGTCGTGCGAGTAGGAGTGCAGGAAGGCGCGCACGCCGTCGATGCCCACGAAGTGCGTGGCCGGCACGCCGCGCAAGGCGCCGCTGCCCGCCGCCAGCAGCTGCTGCTGCGAGCGCCGCCAGCGCCGCAGGCGCAGCGCCAGCAGCAGCAGCAGGAAGGCGACGAAGAGGCACGACACGGCGGCCACGGCCAGCACCAGCCAGCGCGTCAGGCTGCCGCCCGCCTCGCCCGCCCCCGCCTCCGCCTCCGCCCGCGCCGCGCTGCCCAGCTCGGCCAGCAGCTCGGCCACGCTCTCGGCCAGCACCACGCTCAGCGTGGCCGTGGCCGACAGCGCCGGCCGCCCGTGGTCCTTCACCAGCACCACCAGGCTCTGCCGCGCCGCGTCGCGGGCCAGTGGCGAGCGCGCCGTGCGCACCTCGCCGCTGTGCAGCCCCACGCGGAACAGCCCCGGCTCCGTCGCCTTCGCCAGCTCGTACGACAGCCACGCGTTCTGACCCGCGTCCGCGTCCACCGCCACCACCTTGGCCACCAGCGCGCCGGCCTCGCTCGACCGCGCCGCCAGCTCCACGCCCGACCACACCGAGCCCGACAAAGCCGCCGGCGGGTACAGCACCTGCGGCGCGTTGTCGTTCTCGTCCACGATCACCAGCCGCACCGACACGTTGCTGCTCAGCGCCGGCGAGCCGCCGTCCTCCGCCCAAACCCACAGCCCCACCTCGCGCACCTCCCCGTAATCGAACGAGCGCAGCGCGTACAGCGCGCCCG